TAACAAAAGAAAATCAATATCAAGCCAAGTTTTAGCTAAAAAGCCCAGGTTTTCTCTAAAAGAAAAGTGCTAAAAAAGAAGAAAAGCTCTTTTGATTGAACGGAAATGTCTCTTTGATTATATGATCAATCAATCCTTTCCATATAACGCCTAATTAGAGATTCAATCAAAAAGTTTATGAGAAGAAAGCTCTATTTTTTCGATTTAAGAAAAAAACTTTTGCATTTTGATCCGCTTGACTTCATTTGGAGTCACATTACTTTAGAGAGACTTGAACTGAAAAAAAATATCTAAATAAGAGTCGAATTACAAGGTTCTCAAATTTTCAGAAGAAATAAGAGAACGGAAAATGGATCTAGAATTAAAATAAACTATTGAAAAGTTAAAAGAAGAGTTAAAATTAGATGAGATTATTGAATAGTTAAATATAGGAATCATTTGTTTCAAAGTTTTCTTCGTTTTCAAAGTTTTCTTCGTTTTCAAAGTTTTCTTCGTTTTTCTTTCAACGTTTTCTTCTTTAGAGCATCAAAAATGAGATGAATGATGGAAAAATCTGTAATCAAGATTCTCTTTATTCATATGGAACTTTACGAGATTGTTCTTGATATGCCAGCAAAGATCAGAGATGATTTACAAATTAAAATTGATTACAAATGAAAAAAAGCATTTGTTTTAAAGTAAAAAGATGCAAAGAATGAGTTTTTTCATTATTAAACAACAAACAATTCAAAAAACACTATTTTACTAAAGCTAAAGTCTGTTTGTAGCTTCTGTATCTTAGAAACGTATTAATTACTATAAAAAACAGATGATTGCAGGTATTTACCCCCGTACATTACCACTTATTTCAGTAAGTGTACGGCTGGCGAGTTGACTGAGGGATGCACCGAGGCGCCCAACGACTGACAGACAAACCGGACCTGACAAAATTCAAAGTTCTAATAAAAATAGCCCCAAATTGCCCTAAATTGCCATAAATTGCCATAAATTAGCCATTAAATTGTGCCATAAATTGTCAAACGGTAGTTTGTTGGTTGTTAAACGGTAACATCTTCCCCTCCTTAAATTAGCATCCACAATTATTTCTAACGCACCATTCAATATTATTAAGAGCCATATCGTTCACAAAAGCCAACATCTGTCGCATTCGTAAAAATGAGATTTCTACGGATTCTCCTACCTGCTTGAGTTAAATGAATCCTGTAACTAAGACCGAATTCCAGACTCTCTGTCTACTGGCCTGTTGCCATCTCGTTGGGGGATTACGGTAATTTACAATTACATTACATAGATTACATAGATCGGGCAAACAATAAGAGAGTTTTCAGTGCTGGTGGCCGAACCGTTTGTCAAACGGCTGGTCAAACGGTATTGTCAATACCTAATGTGTATTAAAATATATATTAGAAAGCTTTCTCAATTTTAGCAAGCAATTGAATTTGAAGCATATTGGTAAAGCTCTTAGAATTGCAGTTGAAAGTCGAAAAATAAAGCTGAGGAAAGCTTCAATGCGTTTAGATCAAAATTGATTCAATCAATATTCTATCAAAGACATTTTATTATTAAAGTCACTAGAAAAAGCTCTTCAAAATCTATCTCTTCAATTGAAATCCGTTAATCTCTTTGATAGCAAAGATATTTTTATGTTATGACCTAGAAGACAAGTCTAGAGGAAGTAAAAGGAAAGAAAGAAGCTCTTTTTCTATTGAAAAGTGATGAAGCGGGATTAATTTGAAGAAAGCTGTTTTTGCTAAGGTTTATTGCTTTGTTAAAGAGTAAATTTCTGCTAAAAACATGTAATAATGGTTTGAATAAAGGTGGAAAAGCTTTAAATAAAGTTTTTCTTGTGAAGCAAGTCGCTTGACAACTCATAAACTCTGCCGTGAACAACAATAGTTGAAAATACTAGCGTTGAAGCATCAATTCTACAAAAAGCCAACCTTTTTGCTTTCATTTAAAAGTTAAAAAGTTTCTTTACATTCTGTAGTATCTTTATATTTATATTTTGTTTCTTTTTTTCTTTATATCTTTCTTTATATTCCTTTCACCTTTGATAATAGGGTTTTACAAGTTTCTTTTTCGTTATAAATCCACAAAATTTACATCCTTCCATGAAAATGAACAAGGAAAATCAGAAAATGAATTCTTTTACTATTTCCTGATCAAAATTTACTTCGATTATTGGCGAGAATCCAACACTGAACAGATGAAGGAAACCGGCTTTATCCACACTCAAGTCAATCAAAAGTACAACTTCCTGAATCCAAATGACCCTGCCATAATTCTCCCTGGGGATCTGCCAAATGATCCCCATAGATTTCCTATCGAGCTACCTCGCTGAATTCATAATCCGACAAGAAGTGGGAAAGGATGACTTCTACGATTTTGCAACAAATTGCTACGACATCGATTTAGTGATCTTATTTTGATTTTTATTTTTTATTTTGATTAAATTAATCGATTTTTAAGTATTAAATGATTAAATTTTGCGGATTTATAACGGAAATGATCGGGGATTTATTTTTGCGGATTTATAACGGAAAAAAAACCTTTTACAATGTCTGATAGTGAAGGGTTTGCTTTTAAAAAAGCTTACTCTGTAATTAAGTCTAGATTAAGTCTAGATTAGTTACAATTAGAACTCTTTAACCTTTCTAGTTCTGACCTACATTGCCCTGCTTTATAAGCACTTAAAAACTAATCTCAAACTCGACGATCATTGTGCTTTCGTCTTCGACGATCGCATGAGAGTTGTTCATTTCTGAGTGGTTTAGAGAGAAATGAAAAGGAAAGGCTTTTGGTTTGTGTCTTTGCGAGGAAAGACTTTTCCGTTCTTTCCCCTTTCACTGTGTTGACTTCAATCGAATCGACGCCTCGAAAATGCAATCTAAGCTCCTTTTTCTTTCAACCACAACAACCACTACTTGTTTCACTTTTCACTTAAGATTTTATACTTTTGAATTGAATTGAATGAATGCATTGAATTGAATTACTTTTTACTAAATACTTTACTAAGTATCGAACTTGATTAAGCATTTTCAGTGGGTTTTTGATTCAAACCTTGTAGTTTTTTTTGGCTCAAGGGTTAAACTGTTGAGGTAGTCTGAAAAAATGCTTAGCTATTGTTTATAATGTACATTATTGAAGTACAAGTTCAAATCCAATACAAGTACAGTACAAATTCCTCATTCCTTGTTTTCCAGCTTTTCAATAACTGCTACTCAGATACTAGACATTTCACTGCTATGTTATTAACTCAATCAGCATTCTCCATTCCCAAGTCTCATTTCTATTCATTCTGTAATTCAAATAGTAAATGACTTCTCGAGTAAAGGATTTATGTCCTTTTGAATGAAGAATGTTAAATTGAGAAGGCATGGCAACCAAGATTTCAAATAGAAAAAGAAAAGAGAAAGGGAAAGAGTGAAAGAAAGACACCCCAGGGAAAAGTGTTCACCCTATTTCACATTCAACTTTTAGTATAGAGCTAGATATTCATTTTTTTTCGTTTAAAAGCTTTTCAAATTAATCTATTATCTAAATCTAGCTTGACTGAGCTTTTACTGAACTTTACGATTTAACTGTCATTGGTTGTTTGACCATTTTTGTCTTTACTCCTTCTTCAATCTCAAGAATGTTTAGATTCATTGATTAATTTATTGATAATTTATTGAATTGATAATTTTAAAGTCTCATTGTCATTGTCAGTATTGATTTAGTGACTAACATTTAAGTCAAACCAACAGGTGAGCAGACAATGAGTCAAAATCGAATTCTCTTCCTCATTTTCTTAGCCATGTTCTGTAGAAATTAAAAAACAAAACCTATTACGAACCACGCTGACTAATGGTTTTTGATTAAAGCTCGAATCGGTGGAGAAAGGAATCAATATTGGTGCACAAGGGCTCTCTTTCCAATCCCTTCTCCTCCAATGCGCATTCTCCCATCCACCATCCCCTTTACCCCATTTTCTCTACGAAACAGTCTCTGTCCTTGACTTTCTTTCTTTCTTTCTTTCTTTCTTTCTTCTTATTTTCTTTCTTTCTTCTTATTTTCTCTATAGTTCAACTGACTTTTCCCTAAATCTAGCTCATCTCATTTTTTCTTGCACAATGATTCACCAGTTTAATTAACAAAAATTTGCGATAATCTTTTATTCTTTACTTTTTAACAACAACCAAAGCATTAGATCAATTTACTTGACAATTGCTTTATATTTTATATTGCTTTGCAACTCTGGTGGATTGTTTCAAAAGTTATGATTATTCATGGCCAGACTAAATCAATGGTTATAGCTTGACCAAAGCCAGGAACATCTGGCTGAATTTGGACTGGTTATTTAGCTTGGAACAAACTAGTGAAGTGATTTCTCAAGCTTTTTTCTCAGCTTGCTCCTCATCCAAACCTTTTCCCTGAACCTGAGTAGATAACTCATTTTTTCCTTGCCCAAATGTTAGCCTTAAGTCTATCAATGTTATCAATATCTATGTTAAATAATTTCTTTTCTATAAACAACTACTAAAATTGAATTCTTTTCGGGTATTCAACATCAAATTATTTGAGCATAATGCTCAGAAATATGGGTCTCTCAGCTGGGAGAAACCAAAGAAGGGAGTGAAGGGGAAAAGACGAGAAACCTCTTTCCACTCACTCGTTATCGCCCACTTCTTTTTACATTCTCACACAATATCGACCCCTTTGCAGCAAATGCAACTTTGATTTGTTTTGGGATTGAATCCAGCTCTACTAGATTTTATGTCTAATTTGAAAAACTGTAGAACTTTGAATCCATTTTTAACATGCTGTAACCTTTCACATATTCCACAACTCCCGCAATATTACTTCAAGAGTTTCCATTCAGCATAGTCTATTCATTGCTTTAGACTGACCACTTTTCAATGGAATACTTTTAGATGAATGATCCAAATCCAATCCAAGGCAATCAACGAATATTCTCCCATTCGTTCAGTGTTCTTGCTTTTATTGGAGCATTTTTATGGATGGTGATCAACTATTTCAACAAAGAGTGGATTGTTGTCACAAAGCCGGGAAGTGATGGAGAGTTTTTGGTGAGTAAATGAAATCGAAAGCAAGCTATAAAGATTAGCTTTAGTAATAAAGAGAAAAAATTTGTTAAACTTATTGGGTTGGTGAATTGAAAACTCCCGGCTGTTGTCATATGTCACAGTTTGAGCACTTTCTTCAAAAGAAACCCATTTTGGTGTCAATGGAAAAGTTGTAGAGAATCAAAAATCAAGCTTATATCCAAATTTTCAGAACGATTCAAAAACTGGTTTTCAAGAAATGCCAAATTTACGAATTTTCACAAAAGTTGCATTTTAAGCGAAACTACTAAGTGTATCTTTTTGGAAATTTGGCTATAAGCCTAATTTTTGATTCTCTACAACTTTTCTATTGACACCAAAATGGGTTTCTTTTGAAGAAAGTGCTCAAACTGGGACATCTCCAGTCCTCCATTTTTGAGTCTCACACTTATCTCACACACAAACCAAAATCCAAGTCAAAGATCGTTCTCCTCCACGACAACGCGCGCCCTCACGTTGCAAAACTGACTCGCTCTAAAATAAACAACCTTGTTTGGGAACTTTTGGCGCATTCCCCATACAGCCCGGACCTCGCCCCTTTTGATTACTATTTATTCCGGACCATGAGCTTGCGGGAGAACACTTCGAAATTGGCTTTGAAAGTTTTTCGATTCAAAACCAAAATCCTACTACGAAAGAGGAATCCGCAAATTGCCTGTAAAATGGGCAGAAGTCGTCAATAATAATGGAAATTATTTGGAATGAACTGATGGTTTTATGTTGAATAAATTTTAGTTCAAAGTCCCGCAGTTTTCAATTCACCAACCCAATACTATTTAATTCTCTATTTTCATTCCAAAAAACTATTGAAATCCTCTAACTAAACCTTTTATTGGAATAATTTATTTAATTTCAGAGAGGACTCTTTCACGATTGTGTAAATTCGTCAAAATTCGAGCATGGAATTAAATGCTCACCATGGGGTGAAACTCCCGATTTTGAGCCAATATTCTCAAAACCGAAAGAACCATGCTTCTGTAAGTTACTGCAAAATTTACAAAACGTTAATCTTATCACTTTTTCAGTTAACTACACAATAGCTTGGTTTTCTGTGCTATTATTAATATGGATGTCTCTCTGGGTGATAATTTCAATCACATATTGTTGTAATTGGAGAAGGTGTACAGTTTGGAATAAAGCACATGGAAAGAAGCTTTATTTTGGAGCAATTGGAGGAAGTTTAAGATGCCAAAGTGTTCAAGGATAATTGAGATTTAGTTGTATCCTTTTTGATCTTTGGTTTCATGATGTTGATACCAAGATTGACAGCTGAGTACTTTGAGGAAACCGAGATTCCAGTGAAATATGAGGTGAGTAGAGTTCTAGCAGAAGTCCAACTCTTACAATCGACATTAGACGTATCCTAAATTTACAAGTCTAACAAGTTAGAGTAAAACTAGATAGATGAAATCAAATTATAGATAAGACTACGGTAGTTTTCGTAAATTAATAGATTTTAGAAATGTTTAGCTTAAAGGAGGGGATAACAATGGCAATCGTTGCCTATTCTCTAGCCGCTTACGCAACTCGCCATAACTTTCTTCTAAGTTGACCAATCTTTATGATTTTGGTTTCATTTTGTTGCACTTATTGAGATCTACAAAATGAAACCAAAATCATAAAGATTGGCCCACTTAGAAAGTTATGGCGAGTTGCTTAAAAAAAGTTTTGGGATATTTTCCTTTTCCCAAAAAAATTTTAAAAAAAAATTTTTTTATTTTTTTTTTTTTGTTAATTTGTTAGATTTATTGCTAGAAATGGTAAAAATAAATTAGCAAAAATATTGCTAGCATAATTGAACCCTCGACCTTCCGCTTAAGAGACAAAACTCTGGCCATCTGGCCAACAGTGGCAATGTGTTTTGTTATAACTTAGTCGCTAATCGCTGAATAACTTTATAACTTTAGCGTTAAGCTTGTAAGATTTTGAGAATAATTCGTTGAAAATTTCATTTAAATATATTCATTCTACAGGGTGACCAAGAATTACCGCAACAACTTTTTGAAAAAGTATCTAGGAAATGTCTAATTTTTTCAAAAGTGGCAAGTGTTATATAGAGAATTGTAACCCTAATTTTCGGCAACATTTATCTCCCAAAAACTTCCCGATTGGACTTATACAACTCATTTAACAAACGCTTGAATGATCGCTAGTCGCCATCTCTCCGGCGAATCTGTTATTGGGTTGATGCATAATTATCCGGACTTCTTTTTGCGTGCTTGTATCTTTTTTGTTTTGAAAGCTTTTGTCTATTTCTTTTTTAAATATTCGTTATTCTTTAGTGAACAAAAATGCGTGTCGACAATCAATCCATCTTCGCCATATCATGCCCTACCACTTCGAAAGGGATGGTCTGCCGCAGAGTCGTTTCGCGATCACAAAAAACTTTTGGTCAAGGAAATCAATTGGACTCGCAACAGTTTATGAATGGTTCGATCGTTTCAAGTCCGGTAACAGAAGTGTTGATGATGAACCAGGAAAAGGACGGCCATCAGAATTCGATGACAAGGCACTTCTGGAAGCCGTTGAAGAAGACGAAAGCCTGACAACCAGAATGCTGGCAGATGAATTCAATGTTGACCAGTCAACGATCGTGCGCCATCTCAAAAAGCTTGGCAAAGTATGGAAATTGCGCCATTTCGTCGGTCCATCGCTAGTAAGGGCTGGCTGATCTTCTTCCCCCCCCCCCCCCACCGACCCCGCACGGACTACCACGTCAGTCGAATCGCTCAAAAAGCAAAAAAGATCTACAACCATTTGGATGACTTGATAGACGATGTTAAAGCGTGGATTGCCTCCAAAGATCGTTTATTCTTCGCTCGTGGAATCGATCGTCTTCCAAGCAAATGGCAATCAGTTATTGATGTGGGCGGTGAATATGCTCCATAATAATCAATTAAACATATTTTTCTAACTATTTATGTTATTTTTTGTTAAATAAAATCATTTATAAAAGAAGCCGGATAATTATGCATCAACCCAATATTTGGCCGCTTTTAGGCCGAATTAGGGCCACAATTCTCTATATAACACTTGCCACTTTTGAAAAAAATTAGACATTTCCTAGATACTTTTTCAAGAAGTTGTTGCGGTAATTCTTGGTCACCCTGTACACTGAGACATTAGCAATTAAAGAAAGGGTCAAGAATTAATTTACAACGAAAAGCTCCATGAATCAATAATCTGTTTAGTACTCTCTCGGCAGTGGTTTCTTTCGTTTTTTCTTTGGTGGCCTCTTCTGTTATCTTCTAGGCCTTCTCATTTTCTTCTATGATAAAATCGAAGAATTCTTGGCGAAACGAAAAGGACATCAACAAATCCCACTACAAGAAAGAACAATCCAAGCATAAGTTTCTTCATCATTTTGTCTCAAATTAGAGCTTATCCTTGATTTCAATAAGATTCTCTACTCAAATATTCTCATAATTTTCTTTTAAAATGCTTAATACCAGTTTATATTGATCTTTTGTGATATTTTCATAGCTTTTTCAGAATTCAGGGATACCTAGAAGAGAACTATTGGGTTGGTGAATTGAAAACTGCGGGCTATTGTCATATGTGACAGTTTGAGCACTTTCTTCAAAAGAAACCCATTTTGGTGTCAATGGAAAAGTTGTAGAGAATCAAAAATCAAGCTTATATCCAAATTTTCAGAACGATTCAAAAACTGGTTTCCAAGAAATGCCAAATTTACGAATTTTCACAAAACTTGCATTTTAAGCGAAACTACTAAGTGTATCTTTTTGGAAATTTGGCTATAAGCCTAATTTTTGATTCTCTACAACTTTTCTATTGACACCAAAATGGGTTTCTTTTGAAGGAAGTGCTCAAACTGGGACATCTCCAGTCCTCCATTTTTGAGTCTCACACTTGTCTCACACACAAACCAAAATCCTACTACGAAAGAGGAGTCCGCAAATTGCCTGTAAAATGGACAGAAGTCGTCAATAATAATGGAGATTATTTGGAATGAATTCATGGTTTTATGTTGAATAAATTTTAGCTCAAAGTCCGGCAGTTTTCAATTCACCAACCCAATACTTGCAGGAACTACTTGCAATTTAATCTCATCTCTCAAATTCTTTTATTTCCTCTCACTCGCCAACTTTCGGGTTCTTGTATCTTGTTTTTTTTGAATTTAAATTGATAAAATCATAAATCATAAATAATAAATCAAATTTTATTCAACTACAAAATTATTAATATTCAAGAAAAAAACAGCTTCAAGATTAGTAGACGCGATTTGTTTGAAGGCTCACTGAAACTCATCATTTTCAATTTCAATTTTCAATAAAAATCTTAGCTTTATTTTTATATTTTAGTATTTTTACTATTGAAGTGAAGATTTTAAACTAGAAAATCAAAGTGTTGACTAGAAAATCAAAAGTTGAATTCTTTTCTAAAAACAACTTCTCTCCAATCTCTCCTTGTTCTGGCATTCTTTCTCAATATCATCTGGCATGAATTTCTTTGATCGATCGATAAATTGCTAAATTTTCCTTTTGCTTATATCGTATTGAGATTGAGATACTTTATCGTTATATTTCCTCATTTTTTCCTATCCATTAATACCGTTATACCTCCACAAAATGTAATATATCATTGACATATTGAATCTCTAAGATAGAAAAGTATAACTTTCCAACGCCGCCTTATCATCGATTTAGTGGGATGCTTTAAATTGTTAAAGGCATTCATCCCGACCCCCCTTTTTCTGGTCTCTTTGAATCCGGCTCTCTACGGGACCTCTACAGGGCCTCTACGGGGCCTCTACGGGGCCAGAAGAAGGCCCAATACGCCAACCTTCCGTTTCCTCTAAAAGCCCCTACAGTTTCTTTTTTAACCGAGTTATTAAATTCTGGAACATTTTACCCCCTCATGTTCGTGATATTCCCACCTTGGCTAGATTTAAAGCCGCAATTTCGGCAATTGATTTGACTGCTCTGTGATTCTTTCTTGAGGTATCTATAGTCAGTCAAATCGATTGCTGAAATTGCGGCTTTAAATCTAGCCAAGGTGGGAAGATCACGAACATGAGGGGGTAAATTGTTCCAGAATTTAATAACTCGGTTAAAAGATAAATCTGTATCTTTCTGTGTGTTTTGAGTGGTTTCCCGGGTAATTATTGTGATTTTGTTTTGTCGCTATTCAACTGAATATAGCATATATATTTCCCATTGAGCTTTGATTAAGCCCTGATTAGCTTTGATTTGGAAATCTCGTTGGAAGCCCTTAAACCACTAAATTCTATATTCAGCTTGGCATTCATTTAAATATACTATTTCTAGTACTTGAAACTTTGGAACTTGGGAAAAAATGGTGAGGGATAATGTAGTGAACTAATCAGTAAACTAATCGGCAATGCGTTCCAGAATCCACGTCTTTAAGGAGGTATAACGTTATTGATGCATATAACGCCAAAGTACCGATTAGCATTGTTTCTAACTTACCTTTAACAAACAAAACTCGGAATCAGTCGGACAACCATGAGTCAATTGAGTGATCGGATGATAGTTGTGGTGGAAAGCAGTGTGGTAAAGGAGCTGAAAGCAGTGGTTCTAGATCTGTTTTTGGTCTAAATTTAGCAACTACTTAATTAAAATAAGTAACTGATCTTTGATTTCGTTGTTGACTCACCCTGACAGCTGGTCCATCCTTCAACATCCATAGCTCGATGGCGATCGAGGCTGTGTACTTGGGAAGTCCTCCACGAATCACTTGCTCCTCATTACCGAATGTTGTCAACAAAGCGGCCACTGTTGTATCGTGCTAAATCGTAATAGTAAGGTATAACGCAATCTGGCGGCAATGGGATAACGGCAATGGACGGCAGTTCGCCTAGTAAGCGAGAGATCACCGGTTCGAATCCCGGCGCCGATCAGCCCCAACCCATAAAGTCCAGTGTCCAGTACCCAGTGTCCAACTTGATCATTTGTTAATCTTCTTTTCACTTACTGCTGAATACGCGTAGTACTTCAAGCCACCAATCCATTTGCATTCAGCTCCTTTGTTCTCATTCAAATGACAGTCAAGTTTTTGCTGCATTTTGTCAACAATTGATTTCAACATGTTTCCTAAAAACTTTGTTTCAAATTTAGTCTATCTAACTTGAAATTTTGAAAGCTTTAAAGCTTTAAAGATTGCCCCGTCCCTTTCCTATCGGTAATCCAACTTTGAGCTCAAATTTCTTGGTGTTGGGCCATCCAATTTAAATAATTTTTCTACCAATCGATAGAGAAAGACTTGACAAATCCAATGATATCAAGAATATTGAAATCGGATGACCCAACACTAAGAAATTTGAGCTCAATGTCAGATAACCGGCTTTAAAACCCCTACCTCCTCGAAGTCGGATCAACTCCGGTACATAGGGATCCCCAATTCCATAGGTGTACTCATTCGCCTTTTGGGTGAGATTGAGCAATTTCTTAGAAACTTCATCAGTGATCCAGTCTGGTTGAGACAAGTTATAGATCTTCTGGAAACAAAAACATTTAAGCAAAAAAACTTCAACCAACCTCAATGTGATGAACATCGTTTATCAGATAAATGTCCTTTAGAGTGACTTTCTTTCCGGTTTTCTCCGACAAAAATTTGAGAAAATTCTGGAATCAAATTGAGATTAAATGAGAATTGTTTAAGAGATTTTAAATCCAAACTTTTATACCCCATTCTCTTGCTCCAATCCCTTGAACTGTGGGCTATTTTGGAGTTGTTGATCGAGTTCCTCGGCTCTCTTGCATGGAGCAAAGATGTTACCAGCCTGTAAACTTTATTTACTTATTTTTTATGCTATTGTTTTTATTATCAGACATAGCAAAAACAATAGCTTACATGATCGGTATTGACATCAATTGTGTGCACTGGAACGGGAGTCCAATTCGATGGCCACCTAAAGCTTTTTGAATCAACAAAACGGTTAATATTAATGAGGTATTATTTTTGGAATTTCTAGTTCTTACCGTCCATATGTTGGATAATCTTTCCCTTTTTCACCACCAGAGAACATTCCAGCGACATTCGCATAAGCGGAAATCAACGTTCGATTCACATCAGTTGAACGGATGTAGATCTACAAATCCACTCATTTTTCATTCTTATTTAAGCCAACTTTGTTGGATCATAGATTTCAAAAAACCGCATTTTTCCTATTCCCGCCGAGCCGAGTTGATGACTATTTTATAGTTCCGAAGTTCTCACAGAAATCAACACTCTAATCCCACACAAGATCTCATCGTCAGCTACATTTTCCGACCCCACATCGATAGATTCTGATAAACGCTTTTCGAGATGTCAAGCAATTTAGGCAAAGCTAAGGCTGCACTATTAGGGAAAATATGGTAACCAAGATTTAAACCTCTAAAGTTCACCTGCTTCGCGAAATATCTCGAATGAAGGAAAGGATTGCTCTCGTTCATGTATCTTGCTCGAAGCACTCGACCCAATGCGTACTGTTGTCGCATCCCGAGCTGAATTTGGGTAAAAGAATCAAAACAAGATTCAGATTCCAATTCATCTTTTATAATTATTTTACTTACCGGTGTCAACTCTCCCCATCCATTTGGCCATGTGTTTTCCTGATGGATATCGGTTGGATAGGTTTCTGTCGGGGCTCGGTCGCCGTGCCTCCAGACCTAGAGTTCTGAATGATTACATTATATTATAGACCTAGATAGATAGGCACATCATGGTTGCCTTTACCATACATTTTAGCCAAATACAACTCTCTAGCCATGAGAAAATTCCAAGCTGAACCTAATTCCACCTTTGTTTTCTTGACCGATTTTTCTGGAATTTTGTCTACAAATAGAAATCAGCTTGCAGACAAAATTTCAGTGGAATCGGTCAAGAAACGGCTGAGAAAATGAAGCTGGACTTTCCCCATCCCTACAACTTACAACTTGTGCGAAAAGAAGCTCTTCTCCTTCGTGAAACTCGTAGTAGGGAACTCTCAATTGTTGAGCTGATATTGAAGATACTAGAGCAACGAGGAATTGCAACAACATCCTGAAAAATGAAAATAATAAATTCTTAAGGAAAAGAAATCATTTGATTGAAGAACTCAATGATTTCTTTGGGTCAATGGGTCAAAATGCTGCTTTCAAAAAGGAAGAGAGGGCAATAAATCACTAGATCCAGCACAAATGTTCCTCAAAAATCTCATCGTGATCAAAAGATCGATTTCGAAATTAAAAAAGACTTTATCTACTTATCTACAGTGGTCCACAAAAGTATTTTCCCATTGCCATCCAAAAATTCCTTTGGTACGAAAATCTTGCAAAAAAATTATATTCCCAAAAAGTATAGGGTTTTTTGCTTACCCATAATACTCTACTTTTCAAGATTCTAAGATTTATCCGTATAAATTAAAAAAATTCAAGTATAAAACAAAAACAATAAGTTACTTAACAAATAGCTCCACAAAAGTAATGTCCCATTTGCAAAGAATTAAAAATTTTCAAAAAATCAGTATTTGGTTGGTTCTCCTTTTGCTTTTATCGCTTCATTGAGTCGATCCGGCAGTCGATCACGAGATTTTTCAAAAGACTTGGGCGGATGGTGGCCCAAAGACGTTGAATGTGAACCCATAAGGCGGCCTTCGAATCGAATTTCTTTCCCTTTAGGTGCGACTTCACAAATGATCACAAATGTTCAATTAGGCTGAGATCCGGTGAGTAGGGAGGTGGATTTATCAAATTAACACGATTTGCCGCAAACCATTCAGGCAGACGAGCTCTGGTACCATCTTGAAGTGTCACCAACCGTCCCATCATAAGTCTCGACTTGTGTTTCGGGTCGTTGTCCTGGTAAAGCATCCATCTGGAAGGCATCGTTTAATTGGCAAAGGGAAGCATTTGGGTCTCCATAATATTCTTGTAAGCCACAGCATCCATCGTCGAGTTCACGTAGACTAACGGACCTACTGAAGTTCGAGACGTTAGATAAAGTTAGATAATAAAATAAAAACTGAAGTTAGATAATAAATACTAAAAGGTTCTGACCCCAACACATTATGTTTCGCCGTTGAATTTCACGGTAGGCCGAAGTACTTGAGTGCGTATCGCTTTCCAGTCGGTCGCCGAATAAGATGGTTTCCATCCGCGTGAAATAAATTGATTTTTGTCTCATCGGTAAATAACACTTTTAAACCCAATCACGTGTCATCCAACTTCGGTTGGTCTGTGCAAAGTCAAGGCTTCCGGGGCTTAGAATTTATCAGCGCTTCACGGACAGCCCTTCTTGCATATAATCCAGCTTGATTTAATCGTCGCCTGATTGTTTCCGGCGATACAACCTTGTTAAATTGATCCCTCATCATTAAGCTTCCATCGGTTGGTGTTTTGTTAGGATCGTTTTTCACCATTTGGATCACGGTTTGATCTTCTTTTATGATTGTGATTGGTCGTCGGCCACTCTTGAGGCCTCGATGAAGGTTTCGGTCGACTTTTGATTAAGAAAGAATGCGGTGCACCGTTCTTATCGAGCAATTGAAGAGGTTGGTCACATCCTTTTCCCGCATCCCATTTTCCCGGGCCTTGACGATTCGGAGCTTCTTCGAAGTGTCAAGTTTTTTTCTTGCCAGCCAGCCATCTAAATAATAAAATGAAATACATTTAATGTTCATAAAACGCAAAAATAAAAAGAATAATCAAGGAAAACATTAATGGGAAATTACTTTTGTGGAGCTAATTTTAGGGGTAAGTGCACTCTTCCACATCGATCTTTTGATTGGAGGGATTTCAATCAAAAAAATCCAGATATTCTAAAACTAGAATACTTAAACTATTTTAAAAGGAAAAAAGATATCTTTTAACATATGTTTTTGGCGGAAATTTTGCGAAATAACTTTTGAATGGCAATGGGACAATACTTTTGTGGACCACTGTATTAGTAAAAATATTTAGAAAAATTATTTTTGGTCATATACCAATAGAATTATTAAAAGGAAAACGGAAGCATTAAAAATCTGAGTTGTAATAAAATGGAAAGAATTCTTAAAAGATCGTAGACGATTGATGAAAACATTTGATTCCTTTTTCTCAAGAAATCACACAAAACAATGATTGTCTTTTTGATTGGCTTTTTTATTAGTCCACAAAACATCACAAATCTTCAACAAGGCGTTTTGAAAAGAAATTGAATGATTTGGATTGCTATTAAACAAGTTAATCTTTAAAAAACGCTATAATTATAATAAAAAGCCATAACAAGTCGCTGAAAGAGTGGAAAAGAAAAATTCGGGTAAAGAAAAGAAAGAAAAACTCCATTATCGTTGCACAAAACTAAACGAAAGGAAACCTTCTTCACTCTAATATTTTTTTAAAAATTGCTTCAAAAGATTACTTGATATCAAACTAACTGACATACCGTAAATACTGTAATAGTACCCCCCTCCGCCCTCGTACAGTCGCGTAGTCGCAAAATTTTTTTAGTATTTCATTTTTTTCAAAGCGCCCGTACTTTCAAAAAATAGCCCTGAATCTCAGCTATTTTTTGATACCTAAGCGCGCATTGTATCATAAACCAGTGTCGAGAAAAACTCGTTCAAAGCTAGACTACGCAACACTCCGCACCGTCATTATGGGGGTGGGGTACTATTACAGTATTTACGGTATATATTGTTCGCTGATTCAGGCATCACTTCAACAATCATTCATAACAAAGTAAAAACGTTAATCGGACTACGAATAAGTAAAGTCTTCGTTGAATAGTTTATAGTAATATTTTTTTAGCAATAGTTGAAATTTCGTAAGATCTTTGCATTTTAGGTTACTCGAGTTAATCAAACTTTTGTGTATTTAAACAAAAAAATGCGCTTCAGTCTCACCTCTCAGGCCAAACAAGTAGATGTTTTTGGAAATTTTATTAAGAAATTAAAAAAAATTAAACCTTTTTAACAAATAAATCTTTTTAAAATAATTTATTCATTTCCATAAGTCAAAAATCCTTAAATAAATAAAAAAAATAGCATAAAATAAACTCTAGACTTTTAAATAGAGAAGAAATTAAATAGAGAATTATAAAACTTCAAATTCTAATGACTTTCTATTATGACTGGTTTTTTTTTCATCAAAATTATAAATAGGTAAATAGATTTATTCCATTTATCACAGTTTTTTTGATTTACATCAATCTTCAACAGTTTTTTCTATCACTTTCCATTAGAAGTCATCCCAATTGATCACAAATAACATTATGCAACTAAAGACTGACTTTATAGGCGAAAAATCTAAAGAATACCCAAATAGCTGTAAAAGCAGCCATCACAATTCCAATTGTGTCAGCGGTGGTAATGACGGCGAGGGAAAACTCGCGAATATCGGTAGGAATCTTAAAATTTTGAAAACATAAAAGAAAATGCATTTATTTACAAGAATAATGTGGTAAAAACAGTACACAAGCATAACCTTTAAGCCCTAAATGTAGGGAAGAACCCCATATAAGAAAAAAACCCATATAAGCAACAAAGAAGCCGGGATTGAACCCTCGGCCTTCTGACTATGAGAAATGACCAGTCTTAGCCAGTCGGCCGCGGAGGCCGTGATGGCAATGGTGGCCAATCGCCTATTAGATGTGTTTACCTTGCATAAAAACTATCATACCATTTAGAAGGGAACGTAAAAAAATACCTGAGCCGACCAAATCCTATGTGAACTATACCATTTCACGCAGAATTTTATGCTGATTCCGAATATTTATTCCGTTATTGCTAAATGACAATCTGCCAGGAGTTATAAGCGTCTAAAGTTTGTTAGGACTCTGAAAATGTGGTCATTTGCGTCTTAGCAGCCTCCTTCTTTAGTCTAGATCTAGTCTAGATTAGTTACAATTAGAACTCTTTGATCTTTCTAGTTCTGGTCTACCTTGCCCAGCTTTTTAAGCACTTAAAAAGTAATCCCAAACTCAAGCATCATTTCCATTGTGCTTTCGTCTTTGATGATCGCATGAGAGTTGTTCATTGTAGTTTAGAGAGAAATGAAAAGGAAAGGCTTTTGGTTTGTGTCTTTAAGAGGAAGGGCTTTTCCTATCCTTTCCGACTTTGGATTTTTCTTTATGGGATTGAGCTCGTGAGTTCTCGCTCCGGAAACGAGTACTGCACCGAGTTCCGTCCGCAAGGAGGCCGCTAAGACTCACCACATTTTCAGAGTCCTAACAAACTTTAGACGCCTATAACTCCTGGCAGATTGTCATTTAGCAATAACGGAATAGATATTCGGAATCAGCATAAAATTCTGCGTCAAATGATATAGTTCGCATAGGATTTGGTCGGCTCAGCCAGTTGATCTTCCCTTGTTAGATTGAATATCAAATTTTGAATACTTTTTAGTCTAACATTTACCGTTTTATGAATATGATTAAGCGTTTTCACAAGACTTGATCCTCCGAAAAGCCCGGCTACGAGAATCACCACAAAAGCTATAGAAATATGCGGCAGAAAGGCTTTCAACGCCTCGAAATAGAAAAACAAAGCGTTTCCAATCTGAAAAGTTATTTTCCCAATAGTTATTTTTATGATTTTGTCTTATTACCTGCAAAAATGGAAACACGTAAAGCATCCAAATTGGAAAATTCACAAGGATCAGCGAGGATTTTGAGATGAAAGTGCCCGTTCGATAGATTACCTAGAATTTTATAAGTAATGCTTAGAATAGCTTTGAATGGCTTTGAATAGCTTTGAATAGCTTTGAATGGCTTTGAATAGCTTTGAATGGCTGAATGGCTTTGAATGGCTTTGAATGGCTTTGAATGGCTTTGAATAGCTTTGAATGGCTTTGAATAGCTTTGAATAGCTTTGAATGGCTTTGAATGGCTTTGAATGGCTTTGAATAGCTTTGAATGGCTTAGAATGGCTTAGAATGGCTTTGAATGGCTTTGAATGGCTTTGAATAGCTTTGAATGGCTTTGAATTTGTCTCAAACACATTTAAAACTTATTTTTATGACTTAAATTTTTGATATATTACAATGAATGAAAGTTATTACAATTTTTGAATTAGAAATCCACCTGAAACCATCTATATTGACTCTTTTTCGATAAATGAAACGCGTTTGCGCATTTAAAAACAATTAATTGAATCTAAAAAGTTTTGAGATCAAAGAATTTTCTCGATTTTCTGACAAAGCCTTGATTTATCGTGTACTCAGCCAAATAAACAATCACCATCGGGAAAATGAAATGAATTAATGGCTTAAATGATTTGAAGTAATAGACTTGAGACAAAAAAACCTGTATCAGCCTCATTTTTTCCACTAATGTTGTTTGTCTTTTTTCCACAATTCTTTCAGCTTTTGAATAATCGAAAGTCTTTTCTTTGTTTTTGAAAATGAACCAAAGATTGCCTGGATGATCAAGGATTAACCAAAATGTAGCACCATAAATGCAAGGGACTATCTGAAGCAAATATTGTTTGAAAACTGTAGACAAAGCACTCACCAACATTATGAGAAAAGTTGCTTTTAGAGAAAGATTTGCGAGATGTGGTTCGGTGAGAGCCGCGTAGATGAATGAACCTGCAATCAGTAGATCAAAGCTACATTTAGCAACATTTGTTAATTCATTTACTTGGGATTTTCAGATAAATTTTTACCAAGAACACCTGAGGCTCAAATTTCAGATCAAATTCTTACCAAGAACCCCTGAAGTTCCTTGTCCCGATGTAAAAGCTACAGTGGTTGAATGAGGGAAATGAGAAGAGTAGGAGACAAGAGTCGATTCACCAATGCCGCAAGAAATCGAAGATAATACAACACCTAAATATCTTTCGTCTTTCGAATTCCTCGTTAAATTTTGCTCTAGAAAAAGTGGTTCTTAAACGGTTTAAACAGGTTTCCATCTGCGTTTTTAACTCGCTGTTCTAATTCATCCCTAATTCCAAGATTTTCAACAATGTTAAGGCCCGGAGATCTTCCTTGAATCTTTCCGTTGATGATGAAAATCGAAAAATCGAGAAATAGATCGACTCCTTCTTCAAGCAGCATTCCCCTAGTTTTTGGAAGCAGGGAATCAACGCTTTGCCCAATAAATGACAATAACTTATACTTCATAATGGTGGTTATTTTGAATATATCTAGTTTATTTTCTGAGAAATTACAGTTCAAACATTTACGAAAGACTTATGCACCAACCTAATATTATAAATCTTTTCAATTTTTTCAAATAAGCAATTGACTGTTCTACTATTTATCAAAAGGTTGTAATATAAAAATCCAACCAGAAAGTGTGATGTAGTAATTCTCGGAAATCGCTACAACGCTCACAGCGACAGCTTGCAGAGAGACGACGAAAAAGTGACGGATTCTGAATTTTCTTTGCAAAACGATGCGATCTATTTTATCTTAGCTTGGCGAAGAAATAATGAAGCTCCTAGATTTCAGATTCAGACCCATTTATTCAAAATAGTTTCCTCAATAGTTTTTGTGCCCGGGCACATTCGCTTTTACCCGATTCAGTGATTTTAAACACGATTTGCCCAGTTTCACTCAATTTTACAACCACTCAACTCACCCATGTCTTGCATTTTGTCCAAAAAACATCACAAGAATCTTCACAATGAGATTGGGAAGAATATCAGCCAAAAGGACAGTTCCTGTCGAGATTCGACCATCACAATGTCGTGTTCCACTTTCTGACTAAATAACTTGCAAAAGAGACTTATCTAGTAAGCTTAAAAAAATTGTTAAGCTTATCTTAGCTTCGGACGATCGAACAATTATCCCCCACCCTACCGAAGAAACGCTCCCCACCCTAAATACCCAAGAATTACCAGCCCATGTGGGGGGCTATTCTAGAGTGAACAAGAATTCCCCATCACTCTAGAATAGCCCCCCCCCCCCCAGGTGAGCGGTAATTCTAGTGTTGATTCATACCCAAGAATTACCGCCCACCCCACCGTGGGGCTATTCTATAGTGAACAATCATTCCCACCACTCGAGAATCGCCCCCCACGTGGGCGGTAATTCTGGTGTTGATTCATACCCAAGAATTACCCCCATCCCAACCCTACGCAATAATACAAAGAACACGACTCGAAACTCGAAAAATGCGCAGTCTTTTTCGTCGCGTATTAAGAAATCCATCATTTTCGTTGTTTATTTTTATTTTTGTATTGATTTCAACAAAATTTATTATTTTATAAACTTCACTAAATGCTATGATGGAAGAATGTTCTCAAAACAATGACCGATGTGGAAAATGCTTTCAAATCGGTGGTGGAGTGCGTGCGGATGCTGATGAACAATGGATTGTTCTTAAACGAGCGCTACTGTGAGCTCATTTCAATCGGAAAAATTACCTCCCACCGGCAAAATACTATGGGTGGGGGGTAATTGTTCGGTTTTTCCCCTTAGCTTCATCCAAATTAGATTTTGAAAATTTGTATTACTTGAAAAAATGCTCGACTTACTGGACAATTTTTCTCATCAGAAGTTTTATTTTTCGAGTGCTCTTTGTCGATGATATCCTCAGCAGCGCTTAGCATTACAATGTGCAAAAATGAGTTGCATATGCCAAAAATCCTATGAACATTTGTTGAAACTTGACAAAAATGATTTACCAGAAAGCGAAAAGTGTTCTCCAGCGGGTTTCCTTTGAAAAGAGTTTTTTCATTCTGAATATAGTATTTAGAATTTGGTTTTTAAAATGTTTTAAAATGCTAAAATGCTTTAAAATGCTAAAATGGAAATCCAAGCTAAAGATAAGCTCAAAAATCAATGCGCCCATCCTTTTTTTCGGGTTGTAAAATTCGATAACAAGTGTCAGGAAAATTTATTGGGCAAAAAAAGGTAGATTTTTTGTGAAAAATGTTCAAGTTTTAAGTGATTAATGGTTTTGAATTAAACCTTTCGAAAGCTACTTTGCTTCTTGTATTCATAACGATCCTTTGAACTTTTGAATTGAACAGTTCAAGGCAAATCCTAGATAAGAAAAAGGCATACGATCGACTAAAAGTTTCAATATTTCAAATAATTTTTTGTTTTTCATTGTTTCAATTGCAAAAATTGTATAAAATGGGAACCTTTGTCAAGTTTAATTTTTATCATTTCTTTTATCCTTCTTTTCCTTCTTTTCTCCTTCTTTTCTCCTTCTTTTCTTCTGTAGCCAGTCATACTATTGGTATTTGATCTTTTTGTTGCTTAATTTTGACGGATTTTTGCATGGGAACGTCTGATTGAAGACTTCAGCCTCCAAGTCTTCGATCCAGGACATCCAAACGGTCAAGCGTGCGTCAATATAGTCAATTTAGATGGTTTCAAGTGAATTTCGGGACTAGTTCTAATTCAAATTGAAATAATTGAGCTAATAACAAGAAAACTACAAGCTACAAGCTAAAAGCTATAGTTATCAGTTACAAGCTAAAGGCTATAGTTTTCATAAAAATTCTATTCTTAACAATAATCAAAAAGTTCAGTTTCCTTTACAGGCACTGATAAGAGAAGCGATGATGAGGAGATTAAAAAAGTTTGTTTTCAGTTTGATTGGCTTCTCACTGAAGCTGTTTATAGCGGCCAGAATGGCTTAGAGAAAATTTAATAGAGTTTGGCTGAGTTTGTTCAAATTCACAGCAAATTTAGAGCAAGCGACCGTTTTCAGGATAGAAAAATCTAGATGATTTTATCGATGTTGATTTAAAAATATTAGCAATGATTCAAAAATTGAAATCATTTTAGAATTTAGAACTTGTAAACTGGAATTAAAGTACCGTAAAACCTTGATAACAAAAAACCCAAGGGATTTCGAAAAACCTTTTTGTTATCGAGTTTTTGCCTAATAATGCTAAGAAATTCTCAAAAAAACAGTAAAAAATATGCTCTTTGGTACGACCAATGTTTTCATTTACACACTTAACTCCCTCTGGAGCAAGGGAGATCAAGTGTGTTTTGGTGTAGTGATTAGCACAGCCGCGCGGTAGGCCAAAGGTCACGGGTTCGAGTCCTGGCGGTCCACAAGTTTTTGATCTGCCCTAGTTCCAACTGGCGACCACGGAAGGATGGGCTCTGCAATGCTGGCTAGTGTATATCTAGTTTCGAGCGCACCCCAGGCCTATAAACCGAGACGTGTGGAACCGTCTAGTCCAGAGAGAAGGGAAGTTAACTCCCTCTGAAGCAAAGGAGATCGAGTGCGTTCTGGTGTAATGGTTAGCATAGTTGCCCGGCAAGCGAAACGTCGCGAGTTCGAGTCCCAGCGGCGCACTAGTTTTTGGTCTACCCCAGTTCCAACCGGCTCTGCAATGCTGGCTAAGGTCTTCATACCTAGTTTCGAGCGCACCCCAGGTGTATAAATCGAGACGTGTGGAACCGCCTCGTCCAGAGTTAACTCCCTCTGAAGCAAAGGACATCAAGTGCGTTCTGGTGTAATTGTTAGCATAGTTGCCCGGTAAGCGAAAAGTTGCTGGTTCGACTGCTGGCGGGGCGCAAGTTTTTGGTCTACCCCAGTTCCAACTGCGCCTCATTTTGAGTCTTTTTTGCTTTTGTTCTTTAAGAGCTTTCAAATGATATATAACACTGGGTTATTATCTTCACTTTCTTCTTTTAATTCAATAAGCATCCGTTTCGTTAAACAATTTGAAAATTGAAAGACATTTAGTTTTTGCGGCTAGTGAAACTAGACCTTTACCGTATTCTTATTCTTATATTTATTATCAATTATGAACCCATTAGGTGTACTACCAAGTCAGTTAAAAACTAGGGTAATTAAACCGTAATCAGAGCCTATTTCTGCTCCTGTACCAAAAGACTGTATGCCAGAAGCTGTGCCCTAGTTCCAACTGCGCCTTATTTTGAGTCTTGTAGTCATTTTGTTTTTGTTCATTAAAAGCTTTCAAATGATATATAACGCTGGGTTATTATCTTCATTTTCTTCTTTTAATTCAATAAGCATCCGTTTCATAATTTTGACGCACCCTGTACTACTCGATCACGAGCTTTTCATAGTTTGTAACAACAAGTAAAAACTCAAAAAATTTTGTTGATATTTCCTATGTAAAACCTATAATCATCTGAAAATTCTATTTTCCAAAGCTTTAGACTTTATGACGGCACTTTGTTGGGTTCAAAACCCTAAATTTTCTTGAGAATTCTTCTGATCTCTAAAAATAATTCTGATTCTTTTACTAATAAATGGGTTCATCTTGAGAAAAAGCATTAAACAGTGTTGTCATTATTTGAGAAATTTCAAAAAGGGGCGGGCTTTTTGGCTTTTTCAATCACGAGTTTCTCTTCTATCCCATTACTATGTCACTACTTAATTTTCCTCTCAAACCCATTCCTCTTTTCTTCCAAAAATCTATTCGTGGAAATGCTTTCAAAAACATTGATCATCTTTTGGCTTGTATTAGGTGAGTTGTAAAGTTTTTAGAAATTCTGAATTGAATAATGATTGCTTTATCGTCTAACAGATCTTAAATTAGATATTAAAAGTTGAAAAGCTGAATAAACTTATTTTAAACTTCTTAATGCAATTTCTTTGACTTTTAAAAGTTTGAAATTTAAACTAAAATTGACATCAAGAGTTGATAGAGTTGAAAGAATTTAAAAAAAGTAATAGATTTACTAGTTAATATTCGTATTTGAGTCAGTTTAAGTTAAGAATGTTTCTGAATCATTTCAAAATAACAAATCACAATTCAGCTGTTCTATTGATCACTTCTGAAGCTCATCTCACATTCGAAGAGTTCGAAGAAGGTTTTGCGAGAAAGGTTTGTTTATAGTTATCGTAAATACTGTAATAGTACCCCCTCCACCCTCGTACAGTCGCGTAGTCGCAAAAGTTTTTTAGTATTTAATTTTTTCAAAGCTCCCGTACTTTCAAAAAATGCGTCTTTGGTATCAAAAAGTAGCTGAAACTCAGGGCTATTTTTTGATACCTAAGCGCGCATTGTAGCATAAACCAGTGTCGAGAAAAACTCGTTCAAAGCTAGACTACGCAAGACTCCGCACCGTCATTATCTTTGGTATCAAAAAAGCGTCTTTGGCGTCAAAAAATAGCCCTGAATCTCAGCTATTTTTTGATACCTAAGCGCGCATTGTAGCATAAACCAGTGTCGAGAAAAACTCGTTCAAAGCTAGACTACGCAACACTCCACACCATCATTATCGGGGTGGGGTACTATTACAGTATTTACGGTAATTCAACTACTTCAAATTTCGAAAATTTTCAATGCAAATCATGAGATTCATTGACAAATTTCTAAAGAATTCAACATTTATTGCAAACATCTACTCTTTCCAATCTCCAATCCTTTTCTAATTCTAAAATAAAGCTAAATCTGCTTTAAAATTAGCCGGAAATTTGTCGAATTCGTACGGAAATTAGACTATTTCGCAAATTTACCCAACAATTTAACAATTTTCAGCAATGTTTCTGCTGTCGAGCGTTCACGTGTCGTCACCAATCGTGTCCTTGTGGGAGATTCACATTATGAGCAGCAAAATTGAATTGAAAACTGGATTGAATGAGAAATAAAAGTTATCTGTGTACCAGAAAAAAGAAAACAGCAAGAAAAGTTGTTCCGGTTTATTTTGAGCAGCATTTTTGAGAGTACTCTAAACAGATAAAAAGAGAAAGATGAAGAGAATAGATGGCTAAAAAAGATCAAAAGATTCTGAAGTACTTTTGAAAATCTAAAAGACATTAAAAACTATCAAACGGACAGTTCTAATCAAACTAATTCAACGGACAGTTCAAAGCACAGTTCAAAGCACAATTTTCATTCGATTTCCCCTATTTTGACGAAGAATCATAATGCCAATGATACCAAAATTTGATTGATTAAATGGAAACTTACGGTTACAGTTGTTGATTACGAAATTTATCTAAAATGGATATTTTAAAAAAAGGAATAGCTGAGAGATAATTGGCAGTCACAAATCGTTATAAGATCAACATTTTTACATGTATACTGAAAAGATTTCAATTCATTTGGCAATCCGTTGCGTGCAGAAAGCTGCTTTTATCTCAAATCAGCAGCTTTGCAGCAAAAAGCAAAAGAATTGGTGGCGAGAGGAGTCGAACCCGCGATCTCTCACTTCCGTTCGTTTGAGAGACGCGCGCGTTAACCACTCGGCCATGCTCTGGCGCAATGCGAGCGCACTTGTCTCTAGCCTACACGCCCCAGGTTCGACTCCCGCTCGCGCCAGCAATTTTGGCTTTTTAAAAATTTGAAAACATGTTGCACAACTACATGAAATTCTAAACCAAACTAAATGTAAATCATTTGAAATTGTCCTCTGGAGGCTGAGGAACAGACAGACAGAAAACAGACAGTTCTGAAGACCCAGATATTTCCTTCTTTCTTTCTTCCTTTCTTCCTATCTTCCCTCTTGTCTTTCCCTCTTTCTCTTGACAAGTTAAGGTAGCTCGATAGCTCAATGGTTAAGAAAATTGCCTGGAAAGCAAAAGAGGGTTTAATCCCCTACTTTTTCCTACCCTTATTTCCTTATAGGTTATTTGAAACGGCTCACTGGGTGTGGAGGAGTAGTGCGTACAAACAGTCAGACAGACATAGTTCTTTTATATATAGGGTTGTCCAGGCTTACGGGAGTAAAGAACTTAAGGATTTAAAGACCATCTTACATTAAAATGACACCAAAACAGCAAAAAGTACTTTTAATACAATAATTTAACATAAAAATTCATTTTCTAGATCCCCTTGTCGGCAATAAAGGCCTGGTGGCGTTTTGGGGAACGCGTCCACGGTGGCGAGAAGGTGTCCAGCTCGTCCCAAACTTTCTGAAGGGCTTTCTTCAAAAAATCAACTGTTGAATCGGGTTTCGGGCATGCTTCCAATAAACTCCATACAGAATAATCGATAGGGTTGAGGTTTGGACTTGATGGTGGTTGAAATCGATACCGATCGTCGATACCATTGAAGCGAAGTAAAATTTGGTTCGAACAATCATCGCATTTCTCTTTCCTGGCCGACGTAAGAAATTGGCTTTTGGAGAACTTATAAGCTTAAATTCCAAGATTTTTGACAATACAACCGATAGAAGTTCGAGATGTTCCCATATTCTTTGCCATCCTGGCCTGCGAGTGGCTTTCCAGCGTAGCTGATCTCGAACCTTCTTGATATTAGCCTTGGTCACAACGATCGCTTTACCACCACGTCCGGGACGATCAGAATTTGTTCCTAACTCTTGAAAGTGTTTGATCGCTTTGTAAACAAGTTGTTTGCGTATCATCAAACGCTTAGGGATATCCATAGCCAGAACGTCACGCTTGTCTAGGTCGATGATCGCATCTCAGTACACTGATTTCTTGGAAATTTTAAAAAGAGACATTTTTGAGGAAAAAATAACTAAATAAATAAAATAAGCGAAAAGAAAGACAAAAAAAATAGATAAATTGTAAGCAAAAATAAGCAATATCAAAGATAGCCCTAGTCCCCGTAATCTTGGACAACCTTGTAGTAGAAAGATATGCCTGATTTGTGATGAACATTGTATTTTATGAAAACCTAAAACAATCATGTTTACTATGTCGTGACGAAACGGGTTTTTGTAAAATTCGATCACAGAGCTCAGTCCGCTTCCATTCTCAAAAATGGAAAACATAATGGAAGAATTTTAATATTTGACCGTTCGTGCACATTTTTTGCAATGACGAAATGACAGCCAGCAAAATGAAATGAAAAGAAATCAAAAAGCTTTAAAAGGCTAGCCCTTTCAAAGCTATTTTACAAAAAAAAAGATATAGAAAACATTTAATATTTGACCGTTCGTGGGCGTGTAGAACACTGCTTCCATTCACACTCGAGTTTTTGGCCTTGTTGAACGTCAAGGTCAATATATAAAGCCTGTGGAATAGATTTAGCTTCATTTTAGACTTCATTTTAGACTAAATGCTCCAAAAAGCGGTTTTCTTCTTGGCATGTGGTTGGTGCGAAGCATTTAATAGTAAATAAATTCTTTTTAGCGCTTGGTGTTCAAGCAATCGCCAATTGTACAGCCTGTCCAGCTGGAGGTTTGGATTTTTAGATATAGTTGATAACAATTTAATACTAGTAGTTAAATAAGCATATAGAAAGCTTAATAACGAATAGCTAAAGCGAATAGCTTTGGCTTTAGCGAATAGCGAATAGCGAATAGTGAATAGCGAATAGTGAATAGCGAATAGTGAATAGCGAATAGCTTTAGCGAATAACGAATAGCTAAAGAGAATAGCTTTAGCTTTAGCGAATAGCTTTAGCGAATAGCTTTAGCGAATAGCTTTAGCGAATAGCTAATTGTAAATTGATGTACATCGAATGACACCAAAAGCAACGAAAAATATAATATTTATGCAAAATTATGAGGAAAAACGTCAATAATAGACGAGGTTTGGGTTTTTAGCCAATAACTTTTCATGGATGTTAGATTTTAAGCTCCTTTTAGTATCATTCGATGCAAAAGAAAATCATGCGTCGAATGACACCAAAAACAACAAAAAAAAGATAATATCAATGAAAAGTTATGAGGCAAAAGGTTAAGTTTCGCCTATAATGTGGGGTTTAGTTTTTAAGCCAACAACTTTGCATAGATATTCTTCGATCATTTTGGTATCTATCTAAGATTAAAACCAAAGAATTTAGGCATTTGGTCAAATTGGTCAAACTACACCTCTTGCTCTGATGATTGTGGACTTTATGGAAAACAAGTGCAAAAAAGAACTTGCACATCGTATTCTTATGGATGTCCATGCACGTGAGTTTATATTAGAATTGTTAGCAAGCTGTCAAGCTAGGAAGCTGATGTACTTTGGCTCGAATCAGTGCTCGATTTCTGGCGCACTAAGCTTTCCCGAGCAAGTGAGGCATCTGCCAGAAAGCGAGCGTTTACTAGAACCCAAGATCGTCTTTGATTTGATTCTTCTGTGCAACAAATTTCTTTCAATTAATAGCTGTTCTATTTTTTCAATCTCAAACGGTTTTAATCTTTAGATATAGATTTAACTACCATTTTCAACTTGTTATCAATTCCTAGCTCGAAATTCTTTAGTGGAAACTATTCACGAACGGAACCCTGTGCTGACTCTGTTTGCGCCTTTCCCAGAGCAGCCTGCAATCCTCCATATACAAAAGTATGTTGTTTTCCGAGAGACACAGTAAATTCTGTATCCAAATTTAGTATCCAAATTCTATTCAAAAGCGATACCTTTGTGGCAATGTTACTCACACTGCAGCTGCAGGAAACTATGTGGCTCCAACTTGTCAAATGACAAGTAAGAAAATTAGAGGAATCGCAAGTATGGCAAATTTTTAGAAAACCTCAACGCTTGTCCTTGTCCAGCAAAAGGTAGATTTTAGATTTAAAAAAAGAATAATGAGAATCTAATTGTAAGGTATCTGGTCTGCGTGGACTGCAGGAACTTGTACCGCAACTTGTGGACTTTGTGGAGTAAGAACTCAAACGAGAACGTGCAAATCGACGAGTTTTGGATGCGCTTGCGTGTGAGTTTAAAGGCTAATTGTTAAAGAATTTGAAAATTGAAAGATATTTAGTTTTTTCGGCTAGTGAAACTAGACCTTTACTGTATTCTTATTCTTATATTTATTATCAATTATGAACCCATTAGGTTTACTACCAAGTCAGTTGAAAACTAGGGTAATTAAACCGTAATCAGAGCCTATTTCTGCCCCTGTACCAAAAGATTGTATGCCAGAAGCTGCGCGATTACGTAAACATGAAAATTTTTACGTTTTGATATTTAAAATATTAAAATCAGCCAAATAGAAATTTTCTTTAATCTCGAAGTTGAGGACTTCTCAAAATGGCCCTATTTTGAGTACTTGGGGGTTACTATACCTAAAAACTAATACCGGATTCGAATTCCCCACACCCGAAAACCCTAGTATACAAATTTTTAGCTTAATTTGTTCATAATGCTAATTTCAAGTGCCTACTGTCGCGAGTGTGTTAAGATCAAAAAAAATTTAGTGGGCCGACTACTCAAACAATTGCTTGCCCGAATACTCCTTGTGCTAACAATGTTTGCTGTGATGGAAATCCGATTGTTTGTCTTTTAAACAAGATTTTCTTTTTGAATTAGCACTTTAACTTTACATACTTTTCAGGTAAATACCACGTCTACTGGTGCACGTCAATGTGGTCTCCAACTTCCTCCCGATCCTGTTCGAGCTGTACCAGCAGCATGCACAACGGTACTCACTTGATTCTTGCAGGAGCCTATCTATTTGATAACATATTTTAGACCACCAAAGCTACCACGAAAGCCACCACGACAACCAAAGCAACTACAACTACTAAAGCTACTACAACAACAAAGGCAACTACTACAACTACCACGACAACAACAACAACTACTACAACTACGCCTACGACAACTACGACTACGACAACTACGACTACGACAACAACAACTACTACAACTACGACAACAACAACCACAACGACCACAACTACTACAACTACGACTACAACTACTACAACCACTGTAAGTTTCACTTCCAGAGAATACAATGGAAGCCGTCATTAGCGATTAATAGACCCACTAGCTAGATCTGTGACTGATTTAGCTACTTAGCAGCAGGTTTCTGTTTAACAATTGATTGTTTAATGGGCATGAATGCTAAAAATTTGTTCTATTTCTGATGAAAGAACTTCAGACGACCACCACTACAACGACAACAACAACAACAACGACGACGACAACAACAGAAGCGACGACAGACTCAACGACGACCACCACCACTACAACCACTACGACTAAAGCAACCACCACACCATGTGATCCAACTGTTTCGAGACGTAAGAACCATATCTTATTATATAATTGCGAAATGTCCGTCCATCCGTCAAGAGAATTTGAGTTTTCGATATGTTTTGATATTTTTGATCTTTTTTGGTCACCGACTGGTAAAGACCATTCATAAATTCTTAACAAATGCTTTCAGCTTGTCAAAAGTGTCCAGCAATTGCCACTCTTCAATCTCAAAATCCAAACATTCCCTATCCGGCTGGAAATATGACCTACACGACATCATACAACTCAAACTGTTGTCTACAAGTTGATTGGGTGTGCTCAGCTGGACAATATGATCGGGTAATTCTAAGACATAAAGACAATTGTTATTCTATTTTTCAATTCTAGATGAACTTTGCCGTGATGAATTCCTCGACTGGTCTCGATCCGATTGCACAGGCAATCGGTTGTCCGCAGCAGGACTCCGTGAAAATGGCGCCATTCGTCTGTGGAGCTGACAGAGCTTGGCGTTTCCAGGCTGTAAGTAGTTTGTCAAGCAGCTAACTCTCTCTAGACTATGGGAGATCAAGATTGTGATGAAATGGGTGATGAAATGGTTAGCATAGTTGCCCGGTAAGCGACAGGTCGACAGGTTCGACTCGCGCACAAGTTTTGATCTGCCCTAGCTCCAACTAAGCCGTCAAATCATACTGATTTCAGAAAAAATTTGTCAACTTTGGATGCTATCTCCAGAAAGAGGATGGCTGTGCGCCAACAACTACCTCAACGGTAGGCAAATCTCACTTGAAAAATGCTCAAATTTTGTAAAGTTCTCGATTCTTGGTTACAAATAGACAATTCTTGGTTACAAATAGACAATTCTTGGTTACAATTAGACAATTCTTGGTTATTTCTGAGCTTATACAGACTACCACTTCCACAACGGCCACAACAACCACTGGTGTGCCAAATACCGACGATACAACAACAACAGTTGCCACGACAACAACAGTTCCTGGTAAAAGTTTACTGTATATAAAAAAAGCTGTATTTGTCTGTTTGTCTGTCTACTTCTCAGTCGCCAGAGAATCCTTTCAAATAACTTATCATTAGTTTGGCTTAGAGAGTCCATCTAGTTCTGCAAAATGTTTTTAAATTTTTAAAAAACAAAACTACCGACGCGAACGGGAGTCGAACCAGGATCGTGTGGGCTCGTAAGGAACCAAATTTAGAGATAAGGAACCAAACTTAGAGGTAAGGGACCAAATTTAGAGAGATAAGGAACCAAATTTAGAGAGATAAGGAAACACTGCGCCATCTAGTGGCCAAGTGGTTAACACGCGCGTCTCTTAAATGAACGGAAGGGAGAGGTCGCGGGTTCGACTCCTCTTTTGCCAATTCTTTTGCTTTTTGTTGCAAAGCTGCTGGTTTAGTTATAATCAAATTTAAATCTCAGGCTGTCAATTGTGCAAACGGGATTTCTCGACTCATTACCTTCAACGACCTGTTCAAAGTTTGCAAATGAACATCACAGTGTCGTATGTTTTTTTTCTTTTCAGCTTTTTTTAATGGTCACCGTGCTAAAACTAGATTTTGGATTAAAAGACAATTTGCAGTACCGTAAATACTCTAATAGAACGTCATAATAATGGGTGTACAGTCTAACTGTAGTCTAACTTTAAACGTCCAGTTCTCCGTACTGGTTTAAGCTACAGGATGCTACATGTTGTCAAATTATAGCCCTTGAAATCTAGTATTTTTTGATACCAAAAGTTTAGATGGGAAATAACTAGGAGCTGAGAAAAAAATGATTTTATAAAAAGAGCACTGTATGAGAAGGTGGCGTTCGATTCGAGAATTTACGGTATGAAATTATGTTATGGATTTCAGTACAAACGCGAAAGGTTGTTTGCAAGCAGTTTGGGTGTGCGAGGGATCGAATCCTACTGATTCAGTGAGTGGATAGGTGTCCGACATGTGTCTTTTGATCCACTGATTCAGTCCTACATGTGGATTTTCGTCGTTCGTCAATAGGTGTACAATTCACGTCATAAGCTCTTTAAAATCAACCTTTTCAAACGTTTTTTTTGTACGGCTGGATAGTATTTACAAGCTCTGTGAAAATGGTGTAAAAAATGTTTGAAAAAGTCGATTTTAAGGGGCTTAAGACGTGGATTTTTGGTCAAAAGACTTTTAACTTTTAAAGAAACAATAGTTTTAGTATAGTTTATATAAAGTGAAATATTGAGTACAATCTAATGCCTAGTACTTGATTAGATCGAATGAGTGGAGTCGAAGGTCTAGTACTTGATTAGATCGAATGACTGGAGTCGAAGGCCTAGTACTTGATTAGATTCAATGAGTAGAGTCGAATGACTAGTACTTGATTAGATCGAATGAGTGGAGTCGAAGGCCTAGTACTTGATTAGATCGAATGAGTAGAGTCGAATGACTAGCATTTGATTAGATCAAATGAGTGGAGTCGCATGCCTAGTGCTAGATTAGATCGAATGAGTACAATCTAATGCCTAGTACTTGATTAGGTCGAATGAGTGGAGTCGAATGCCTAGTACTTGATTAGGTCTAATGACTGTATTCTAATGCAAAAGTACTTCTTTAGATGCAATGAGTTCAATCTAATCCCAAAGTACTTGTTTAGATGTTGTTCCAAGTACAGAACTACACCAATGACGGAACTGTGGCTAGTTTGAATGGCTGTGCACAGGTGAGGAAATTAGTTTTAAGATTAAGGTTAAGGCTTAAGTCTAAAATATATTTACTTAGATATAGCTAGAGTATTGCCATTTATAACAATGAAAACAATCAAACAAATTCAAATTTCAGATCACTTCTTCTTCACCGGGAGCCTCGATTCTTACTTGTACCAATGATCAGTATTGGCGATGGAATGGGGTAATGTGGAGTTTGTGGAGGGTTTTAAAGTCTCTATATTACTCTATTACTGTCAAGTATAGCTGTTTAAAAACTGACAAACTGACAAACTTGATAAACAAAGAAAGAAACAGATAAAAATCTAATCGCAAACTTTAGCAACGTATCGGAATGTGGGTTTGTTATGTGAATCCGACAAAGACATGTTAATCAATTTTCATCAATTTTATTTTTATGTGCTGATTTATCACTCGCCAGTTAATAAACTTGAAACTTGTTAGAAAAACTCATTGACATCAAATTTCACTACGATTCTACACTTTACAAGTTTTAGAGCAAAAGTTCATGTCAATAGTTCTCAAAAATCATGTTTTCTTATTGAATAAAGTGTTACATTTTTCTGAGTCATTTGTTGACGCTTAGTTTTCCCAAATTTTCATATATTTTTGGTGTTGATTCACCGCACACCTATTGCTTTCGATTTCTCTTGAAATCATTCTTCTCCTTCTTCTTTAAAACCATCATCGAATCCTTTCTACAGAGTAGGCCAAAATTACCGTTACAATGCTCACTCACGCGCAAATGCGAAAGCGAAATGGAAGAACGCGAAATGGAAGAACGCGAAATGGAAGAAAGCGAAATGGAAGAAAGCGAACGGTAACAACTTCAGCAAATGCCAAAAAAAAGTGAGGAATCGCCTGTTGAAAACGCCAAACTAATCGGTGCGAAAAATGTCACAAAAATGGGGATTAAGCGAAAATCCCTTAGAAGAATCATCAAAAACAAGCTCAAGTTAAAGGCCTACAAGAAAAATAAATCACAAATGCTATCAGTTGACGCTATCAACCACACAAAACTGTTGATAGTTTGAAAAAAGCGCTCGAAAAGGCTTGGGAAGAGCTGGATCTCCTATACCTTCTCGCCACGATCGACGATCGCCTTTTCTATGACGTTTGGACGCCTGTGTAAAAGCTATCGGAGATCTGTTTGAAAAGGAATAGTTTTTATGAATTGTTATGAGACAATAAAAGCTATTTTTAAAAAAAATCTTTGACCTTTTGAGTTGCTTTTTATACAGAGATTTTTTAAAATGTAACGGAAATTTTGGCCCACCCTGTACTGGCGTCTCGTTGTGGTGTAATTGCTAGCACAAGTTGCCCGGTAAACAAAATGTCGTGGGCTCGAGTCCTAGCGGCCGCAGGAGTTTTTGATCTACCCTAGTTCCAACTGATCCTTATACCTTTGTGCCACTTTAAACTTTTCTGGGCTTTGCTTTGTCTTATTAGATGAGAAGACGACTTCAACATCTTTAAAAAAGCCTAATCGAATCCAATTCAAACGATCCAGATTAAGAAAGAGATGAAGTCGGCGATTTAGGTAAACCAGACTGTAAATATGTTCCAGATGATCAAAAAACTAATCTCTAGCCTCATGACTACCTGAATTCTCAAAATCAATGGCTGAAGAATTTTACTCATTCATTTTTCTCACTTTTCTTCTTTTCACCGTACTCTGGCTCATCTTTACACACATCCCGTGGTATATTTTTGGTCATAACATCAAAGTAAACCTTTATTTTGTTAGCATTACGAAACTTTTCCGTTTTCTACTTAGTGTTGTTGCCAGAGATTACAAGAGAATAATCGGTTACGACTGTTACTTTACTCCCAAGTGCTCAAAAAACGGAGAAAAACCTATAGGATGAAGCTTTGAATAAATGATGATGTAGAATGATAAAAGTATGAAAGGATTGGGGTTTACTTGCTGGAATTTCGTTCTGTCTTTTGTCTTTATTGAACCTGGCTCCGATCTAGCAAACCGCAGATTGATAATCTAAAGAGAAACCAATTGAAAATCTGGGTGAGAGTTTTCTTTTGTGAAAAAGGCAAATGAGACAGATAGAGTGAGAAATGAAAGGAGACGAGCTAACAATTTTGACTAACAAATTAACTATTAGGTTGGTGAATTGAAAAGTGCCGGACTTTGAACTAAAATTTATTCAACATAAAACCATCAATTCATTCCAAATAATTTCCATTATTATTGACGACTTCTGCCCATTTTACAGACAATTTGTGGATTCCTCTTTCGTAGTAGAACTTTGGTTTGTGTGTGAGACAAGTGTGAGACTCAAAAATGGAGGACTGGAGATGTGCCAGTTTGAGCACTTTCTTCAAAAGAAACCCATTTTGGTGTCAATGGAAAAGTTGTAGAGAATCAAAAATCAAGCTTATATCCAAATTTTCAGAACGATTCAAAAACTGGTTTTCAAGAAATGCCAAATTTACGAATTTGCACAAAACTTACATTTTAAGCGAAACTACTAAGTGTATCTTTTTGGAAATTTGATTATAAGCCTAATTTTTGATTCTCTACAACTTTTCCATTGACACCAAAATGGGTTTCTTTTGAAGAAAGTGCTCAAACTGTCACATATGACAATAGCCCGCAGTTTTCAATACACCAACCCAATATATTTAGATGAAATCCTTTGAAGATTACTGTAAGCTTGTCTAGAGTTAGTCTGTTATCCTAAAAAGCTGGCAAAATTACGATCGTTTTCCAAAGTTACTGTAACTTCTTTGACTCAAGCTCTTGTGTTTATTGTCTTAATTGAAAGGAACCATTCTACTTACATTAGTCAGTGAGAACATGAACATTTACTCATTTTTTTAAATCAAACAGCACTGTCAGTACAAAGCTTTTTGATCATTATCAATCTTTTTCACTGACTTTTAGCTTTGAATTGTAAACGTTATTTCCGGTTCAAACTGTCACATATGACAATAGCCCGCAGTTTTCAATTCACTAACCCAATAGATATTAAGTTGCCAATAAGTAACAAGTTCTAACAAGAATTAACAATAGATCAGCCTGCTTGAGTTATGATTTTTTGATTTTTAAATTTTAATTGCACTTTCTTCCAGTCAATATACAAAACAATTTCTTTATCGGATCAAAAAAGAGTAATACAAAAGAATACCGGAGAGTTCTGCTCAAGAAATCTGATAAGGCAGAGGCGCATGGGGATGAATAAAGATGATAAACCGAATGTGGATTGTCATAAAGAAATGAACTGATAAGATACAATAGATTATGATGAACAGAAAGAGTACTGTAATTATAGTACAGTTTAGAATAAGAAAAAAATAGAACCGGGTACCCGTAGGGAAGAGGAGTGCCTCAAAAAATAAACACTTTTCAAACCATTCCTTTGAGTCTCTGCCTCAAATTTCAAATTTTCTAGCTATAGGCCAAGTTATAGAAGAGCTAAGATCAATTTTCAATTCAAACACTTTTAAAGTTTTCATTTCAATAACTGAGCCAAGCTCTAGGGAATTTTCGGTTCAAAAAAAGAAAAATAAACAAAGAGCACGAAGATCTAAGAAGGGAATCACAATCTTTTTTTTTGCAAATAACGAAAAAATTGAAGGAGTATTTGGCCTAAATTGGCCTAGATTTCTAGAATTGACTATTCTTTGAGAAATTCTCTTTCAACGATCCAACGCCATCATGTAACGGTAGTTTTCTTCGTCCGAACGAACGACTGGTCGACCCCAGAATCCGGTTTTAAACATGTTCCCCAGCATTCCGGTTGACTGAAAATGAAATGGTAATTGAAGAATCATGATAAGTATTTGTTTGGTTTGTCAATGACTAGATTAGTCTTCGGAAAACAGTTTATCTCTTACAGTAAGCTGAAATGATATTTAAGAGATATTTAAGAAGACTGATTATCTTGACTTCAAGTAAGGCTAAAGGTCTTGATAGCTGAATACTTTGATTTACTATAGACAACATTGAGATTACAGTAGCTATAAGTTGTAACAAGTTCAGGATTGTTTATAAAAATGTTTTTGTTCAGACGAGGCCAGGGTCAGTTCAGAAATCAAGTCCCTGTCTTAAAATTTTATAAATTTTTTTAAAAGAAAAAAAAATTAAAAAAAAAAAAAAAAAAATATGTGTTTTTTGGTTTTGGGAAAAAAAAAGGGGGGGGGGGGGGGGGGGAGGGGGGGGGGAGGGAAAGGGGGGGGAAAAAAAAAAAATGGTGGGAAGGGGGGAAAAAAAAAAAAAGGGGAAGAAAAAAAGGGGGGGGAAGAGAAGGGGAGGGGGAGGGGGGGGGGGGAGGGAATGAAAGGAAAAAAAAAAGGGGGAGGAAAAAAAAAAAAAAAAAAGGGGGAAAGGGTTTTTTTTAAAAAGGAAAAAAAAGTTAAAAAAAAGGAAAAGGGAAAAAAAAAAAAAAAAAAAAAAGGGAAAAAAAAAAAAAAATTTTTGGGGGGGGGGGTGTTGGGGGGGGGGGGGTGGGGGGGGAGGGGGAAAGGAGAAAAAAAAAAAAAAAAAAAAAAAAAGAAGGGGGAAAGGGGGGGGGGGGGGGGGGGTGGGGGGGGGGGGGGGGGGGGGGGTTTGGGGGGGTTTTGGGGGGGAAAAGGGGGGGGGGGGGGGGGAAGGGAAGGGGGGGGGGGGGGGGGGGGGGGGGAGGAAAAAAGGGAAGGGGGGAGGGGAAGGTGTGGGGGGGGGGGGGGGGGGGAGGGGGGGGGGGGGGGGGGGGAAAGGAGGGGGGGGTGGGATTTTTTTATTTTTTTTTTTTAGCTTCGCCTGGGTTAGCTGCTTGGCCTGGCTTGGCTGCTAGAAAACAGGCCTGGATTTGGCTGATCCTTGCCTTGCCTTGTCTAGCTGGTATTAGAACATCCTGTTCAAGTTTAATATTCCTAAATTCGCACTAGCTGGCTTGGCTTTGAGGCTGCTAGAAGCTAGGCCTGGATCTGATCTCTGGCCTTGCCTTGCCTGGCTTACAATGTTGGCTGTTCAAGTTTAATACTCCTAAATCTTTCTCACTAGCTATTCAAAAGAAATCCACTAAACCAATGCCCTTTCGAAGCACTTATTGTCCTCAAATTCATGAAATAAACATTTCCCTAGTGAACTTTCCCCATTTTCGAAAGGTGTCTGATCTCAATTTTCGTAAACAAGAATTGGATCTCTTAATGGAGATCCCATTCCAATGAATTGACCGATTAACTAAAAATCTTTGATGCTGCAAAGATGCAGAGAACGAGCAAGAGACTTGTTTTTGATGTTTAAGGGCACCGGAAAGATTTCTTATTTGAAAAGAAACGTGAAAATTTTCAAGTTCATTGGGTTTACTATCGCTGAACTGATGGGCTGATAAAAATGTTGATCGAGCATCGATTTTAGTGAACTTTATTGTGTTTTTGGGTTTAGTTTTAGGTGCAAAGTTTTGATATTTATCTGACACCAACCTTGCTGCTTGGCTGCACAACGGGATCAAGGGGATTCACCGATGATGGTGTCGAGTGTCCACTAGAAGATGTCGAAGCTGCATTGACGATGTGCTGAAATTTGACTTTTGCCTTTATAATGCTTCATAATTTCGCTTTATAATGTAAAAGTTTAAGTAAACAGGCTTTAAATTGAGGCTTAAGAAATTTGTTGATAGTCCAGACTATCTAAAGCACTTTTTTTTCCAGCTTAGGCCAAGTTCTGGATCAGACAACTCAATTTTAGCTCAATGTCTTTAACCAAAATTGGCTACACTGATTCCTGCTGTAAATTTCGATGTTTTAATCAAGATTTGTTTTGTTTAGATGATTCGAGTTTGTCTTTAAGATCTCCTAAATGCAAATTTCCATACCTGTGAGAATGGGGATCCTGTCGAGTGTTGTACTTGAACCATTTGCTGGCGATCGGTTGTAGCTGTGCTCATCACAAGACCGCCCTGAAATCATTGAGGTTATATCTCTCTCAAAATTTCTCTCAAATTGAAAATTTTAGCCTAGTTTTAAGTTCCGATTTGATAAATTGCATCAAATTTTCGTTAAAAAGTGAAAGTCAAGAAGTTTTCCTTTCCCTAGAACTGTTTAAAGTTTTTTTGGAATTGCTGAACAGTTTTAGCCTTGAAGTAAAGCTAAACCTTGATGTAAAGCTAAACCTTGAAGTAAAGCTAAATTTTGAAGTAAAGCTAAGCCTTGAAGTAAAGCTAAGCCTTGAAGTAAAGCTAAACCTTGAAGTAAAGTTAAGCCTTGAAGTAAAGCTAGGCCTTGATGTAAAGCTAAGCCTTGAAGTAAAGTTAAGCCTTGAAGTAAAGCTAGGCCTTGATATAAAGCTAAGCCTTGAAGTAAAGCTAAACCTTGAAGTAAAGCTAAGAACCCAAAATTTCTCACACACCTGTATTAAAAGTTTTGGTCGAACTGGAGACAACATAGTGAAATAAAGTTGGTGAAAGGTTTGGTTAAAGGCTTAATTAAAGAAATTGAAGCTAAAGCTTAAATGAATAGTGAACCGTTTACTTCAAGGTGTTACAGTGAACACAATAACTGATTGGGTTGATTGGGGGAGTGATTGGAGTGATGCAACTGCTATACGCTGAGAAATCAGTTGGTTGACTGGGGGGAAAAGGGATGATTGGGCAAAGAGACTCCTCCCACCCTCTCCCCAAAGATCGACACAAACACGCGTTGAACAGAAAGCATTAGACACACAGATTCCCTTGGAAAAGAACACTGATTTGGGAGAAGCTTGACTTTAACCCCGGAACTGATATCGCCAATGCTTTTTAGTAAACATCTCATGCCTTTTTTCAATCGTTACACTAAATTTGGAGCTTTTTCTTTAATTCTGTTGCTAAGCAACAAAATAACAAAGAATAAATTAAGCTAATGAATAGTTTTATTGCTAAAGGTTATTTGTTTTTGGAAATTAGTCAAACTGATGCAAATGCAAAAGCTATTTGCTTTAATCTTTTACTAAAGTTCACTACAGTATCTAAGAAGCATTAGTAGATCTAATAGATGAACTGAATACTTTTATTCGGCTTACTGTACTGTACTATTTGTCTTGGCTTACAGTATCTTACAATAATTGCTTACAGTAGCTTAGAAGCTTAAAGTCTTGACATCGAAATCCTCAACTTTGCTCTCTAGAAGATCTAGAAGAGATTTTTGGTTCACTACAGTAATTTGGAATGAAGATATTTAGCTAAGAAGCATTTCAGATTAATAGAACTAATAAATGAACTGAATACTTTGATTCGACCACTGTGCTGTACTGTACTATTGTCTTGTAGTAACTTGTAGTAACAGTAACTACAATAATCTGCTCACAGAGTCTGCTCAATGCCTACAGTAACCAGCTTTTTCCATTAGAAGCTAAAAGTCTTGACATCGAAATCCTCAACTTTGCTCTCTAGAAGATCTAGAAGAGATTTTTGGTTCACTACAGTAATTTGGAATGAAGATATTTAGCTAAGAAGCATTTCAGATTAATAGAACTAATAGATGAACTGAATACTTTGATTCGACTTACTGTGCTGTACTGTACTACTTGTCTTGTAGTAACTTGTAGTAACAGTAACTTACAATAATCTGCTCACAGTAGTCTGCTCAATGCCTACAGTAACCAGCTTTTTCCATTAGAAGCTAAAAGTCTTGACATCGAAATCCTCAACTTTGCTCTCTAGAAGATCTAGAAGAGATTTTTGGTTCACTACAGTAATTTGGAATGAAGATATTTAGCTAAGAAGCATTTCAGATTAATAGAACTAATAGATGAACTGAATACTTTGATTCGACTTACTGTGCTGTACTGTACTACTTGTCTTGTAGTAACTTGTAGTAACAGTAACTTACAATAATCTGCTCACAGTAGTCTGCTCAATGCCTACAGTAACCAGCTTTTTCCATTAGAAGCTAAAAGTCTTGACATCGAAATCCTCAACTTTGCTCCCTAGAAGATCTAGAAGAGATTTTTGGCTTCTTTCAAATATTAGTTCAAATTTATCACGTTCCCCATTATGTAAACATCTCATGCTGCTGTTTTCTTTCTTCCTTTTGACTACACTAAATTCATTTCTCTTTCTTTCGCCAATAAAATTGTTAATCTCCATTCGCAGTGTTGTTTACGTGCTGAAAATACATCTGGGAGTGATCCTCTGGCGATAAATCACCAAACGATCGGTATTTTTTAGGAAAAAGGCTCCTATTCGATCTTTCTGCAAAACAACATCGATTGAAATGTTTGAAGATTTGGCAAAACCCATTGTTTGATAGAGTAGGGTTTGTTTTTGATCTCGAAATGCATCAGTGGTTTTTTAGTGGATAACAAAAGCTGTTTTGGTTCACTAACTTCTAGAAAAGTTTAGAAAAGTTCTGGAAAATTCCAGAAATTCTCCGATTTAGTGATCTACAGTCACCAATACTACAGAAAAACGAAAACGTGCTTTTAAAGTCAGAATTCTCACCTGATTAGCGGTTTCGTGTTCCTCGTGTATTGGTTGGATGATAGCTGATGAGCTTTTACGGAGTGGAGCCACGGAAAGATGATTGTCTTGAGTGCAATTGACTGGTTGAGTTGGATGTGGGAATAGTGATCCGAGATTGCCGAACGATTGCTTACGGGTCGGCTGCTCGAAGAGGTGACTCGCCCACTCGGAAACGTTCTGAAGAATTGAAGAAATAAACGATACGACAAACACAACTTGATTGTCAAAACGAACAGAGCTTATGTTTTACTTGAGTTGTTAGCGATCATTGATGAAGTACTACTACTGCTTAATGAGTCCAAGCAAAATTTTCAGACAGTCTGCTTCGCTCTTCGATTTTTTACTGCCCATAGCTCCTTCGATCATGAAACCCAGTTCCCTCGCAAGCCCTTATTCTAAGCTTCATTTTGATACTAAACATGGCTAAGTTCTATTTTACCATTCTTTAGATTTCGATCAATCTTTCGCCGGACTCGATAAGCTTAACGAGTCCAGAAAAATTTTAATCTGAAATGATCGAAATCTAAAGAATGGCAAAACAGAACCTAGCCATCTTTAGTATCAAAATGAAGCTTAGAATAAGGGCGTGAAGGGAAACTGGATTTCATGCTCGATGGAGATATGGGTAGTAAAAAAATCGAAGATCGAAACTGTCTGAAAATTTTGCCCGGACTCGTTAAGCCGGTCTAACTGTACCCTTTCTTTTGTGCTTTGTGCTCAAATTCGAAACAAATCTGTGCACTGAACTGCTTGTTTTCCAAGAGACGTGCACTAGATAAGATGTGTTTCCAGTCGAGTACAAAGTACAAATGAAGTAAGTAAGATTTCAGCTTAAGCCATCTAGTGCTCAAGCGCTTGCACAACAAAATAAAGCCAGTGCATCAGGGTTAAAAAGTTGTCGCTCAATCGAAACACTTTCTGATGCACTGATTTGCTAGAAAGTGTGCCAGTGTTTTTCATTGAACACAAGAAAAAAAATTATTCAAACAAGCTCTGCCATTTCTATCACAATCACAAAAAAAAACTCAAGAAATCACCTACACAACATGTGAAAGGCGGCATTGCGCTCAAATGGCCAAAGTCTCACCCAAAAAGGGGCCAAAGGATCACCCCCGAACAGCCAAAGGATCACCCAAAAGATCACCCAAAAGACTATCCATTTATACAACCCTAATCACGAGACGTCGTGATTTGATCAAATTTTTGCCTTGCAAAAGTGCACTCATCGAAAATTGAGATATGTTTATCACGTCCTTATCCCCTGTTGACTTTCAGAGATCAAAATTTTTGTTGTAGAATCCCTCCACGTGGCCCTCTACTTGCACTTACTTTTTAGATTAGTTTTAAATGCACTACTATTGTCTACCATTTTGTTGACAAACCTGTTGATTGGAGGCTTTTCTGTTGATTCCTTCAGGCAGACCGACTGTCCAATCAACAGCTGATGAAGTTTTGCGAAGTGGGGCGGCTTGCAGATGGGACGGATCCGCCAGGAGGGCACCCGAACTGAAATTTTGAGGGTAATTGAGCTGGATCTGGATCTGGATCTGGATTTGGATCTAAATCTGGATCAAAAGATTAAAAGATCAGCACATCTGGATTAAAAATTAAATCGCTTTAAATATTGAACTTAAGTAGAGCTTAAAATATAGAAATGGTTTAGCTTTGAAGGGTTCAAAGAAAGTTAAGAACGAGAAAGAGAGGATAGAATAAGTTCAAGATTGGTTGCATAACTTTGAACTGAGATTTTCGACATGTTTTGATCAAGGTTTAGATAATGATTTGAATATTGTACTTAGATCATCAAGCTATGATTTGATTAGGTATCTAGTTGAGTTTTGAGAAGTTGAAGCCTTTCAAAAGGTCAAGAACAAGAACAAGAACAAGAGCAAGAACAAGAACAAGAACAAGAACAAGAGCAAGAACAAGAACAAGAACAAGAGCATTCATATTCAAGAATAACCAATACTGATACAAGAATACAAAGAACCGAGCCAAAATTGACTTTGCAACAGTACTTTGAGTACAGTACAACAGTACTTTGAGCTGCTAGTTCTATTTAAAGTTGAAAACTTAGTACATTTTCACAGGCAATCAATCACTAGCCTTCACCGAAATTTCACCAAAACAAACGCCTACGTCAAAAGAGAAATAAAAAGCCAGCTTTGCATAAAAGGGCAAAAGAATGGAAAAGAGTATTCAAGGCAAAAACCATCTCATTTCCGCCCCCGCAAAAATGACCACTGAATCAACAAAGTCTCCTTCCCCCAATTTAAAATCTCATCATTTTCTAACCGGTTACAAGAATTTTGCCTCATCTCACGTCAATCAACCGAAACCCCAAACCCGAAAGAAAAAAAAAGTTGAATGATCTCTCCGTACAAGATAAGCCTTTCATGAACGACCCTAAAAAGTCATTAAAAGTGAATCCCTCTTTTTTTGCTTATTTTTAGAGATTCTTGAATAATAAAAGTTGATCTTTAAAGTGAAATCAAATAAATTTGAAAGATTTTTGTAATATGAATGATTGAATGCGTGGGAAAAGCTCTTGTTAGCTTCTTTTGTTGAACAAGAACAAGAGGAAGAACAAGAACAAGAACAAGAACAAGAATAAGAACAAGAACAAGAACAAGAGCAAGAACAGGAGCATTCATATTCAAGAAGAACCAATACTGATACAAGAATACAAAGAATAAATTTGAAATCAGCTAAATTTGAAAGATTTTTGTAATTTGAATAATTGAATGATTTTATGCAATGAATGGGAAAAGCTCTTGTTAGTTTCTTTTGTTGAAAAATCTCTAAAGTAGCTTAATTCAATAGAATTTTTGTCTATTTTTGATCCCCAAAGTATCTCAATTTAAGAGAATTTTGTCTATTTTTAAAGTCAGTCATTTGCAAAGGTGAAAGAAAAGTTGAAAACAACAAGTAAATGAAGCCATGAACGAACAGGGAAATGACGACTGGTCTCGAGGTGTTTTATATCAACAAGATTGTAAAAGAAAGGAAAAATGTTAAAGTAAAAGATCGAGAATCACTCAAGAAGAAGGAGACAGTTGTTCTTGAACGAATGTGGATGGGATTGGGGAATGGAGGAGTGAGGGTGGTGACGAGGCGGATCTGAGCCGCGTCTCCGCCTCTCTTAGTCTGGAGGTAGTTAATTGTTAATTGTTAAGGAGTTAATTGTTATCTTTTTAACTGAATGATCAAATCTATAATAGTAATTGTCTAGATTGATCAAGTCTAAGCCTAAAGTAGATTTGGCAAAAGAATGAGAACAAGGAAGTTGTCTCGTAGAGCTCTGCTGCACTAATTGGACCTTAAACATCATTATACAGAAATTCTGTCAGCAAGTACATAAAGAACTTTATAACTTTTACTTTCTAACATTATAATAGTAAAAGTCTCATAGAAAATTGACAGCTTTGAAAGGAATGGGCAGAGTTTGAGAAAAAGGGAGCGCTCAATTCTGACGTCAGCTTTCGAAAAGGTCCATTCCTCGGTCTTTTTCTTTTTCCCAGAAAATCGATTCCCTCCGGAGCTTCGGCTTTTCTCTAGCTTTCCCTTTTTCCCATTTTCTTCTCTTTTCTGTTTTCTTTTATTGTGAAAGTGGACACCCCATTTTCTATCGAAAATCCGATAAATGAACAGAAAAAAAATTGATTGTTAGATGAAAGAATTGACTTGAAAAAAAAGATAGAACTAAAATTTATGAAACATTGATTTTAAATGATGTAGAATGATGTAGAATGATGTAGAATTATGTAGAATGAGAGTTTTGAAAACTCTTTTAGTCATCCTATGAGTCATCCTATTAAAAAATGAGTCATCAGAAGATTGTGGTGGAATGTGGGAAAGGAAATTGAAAGAAATGAGAGAAAGAAAATCGATTCAAATCGTGACCAGACAGGACGCTTGTGCAAAATGCAAGCGGGAAGGACAGGACGGAAAAGAGAGAGCTTTTTTGATGGGAAGAGAAAAGAAAAGGAATAGTCACGCAAGAGACGCGCACACAAGGTGCATTATATGATCGACTAGACACTAGAAAAGCGACAAGAGAAAAGAGGAGAATCGGGTGATCTTGGCAGATCAAATTTTGATTAAAGATTAGTTGAGATCGATCGTTTTTGCCTTTTTCTCCCTGTATTCAGAGACAAAGACGTGGTTGGAGCAGTGGATTGAAAGCAAGATTGTTTCTGGAGAATTTTAAGGCTACAATCAAATACTTGACAAGTTTTAAAGCTTATATGATCTAGTAAAGCTATCTTTTTAACTATCTAATCGTTTTTAGACCTCACGGTTTACTGTTAACGGGATAAATAAGATTTTTAGAGCTATCAAAGCTAACAAGGATTGCTAACAGTTCAATAAATCTAAGAATTAAATTCTTAATTGAATTCTTAACAACTTTTCTTTAAAGAAGAAAATTGTGAGAATTTTGATTCCCTCAAAGATTCCCATCTAGCCTAGACAGTCCCATTATTTGAGTGAACTTAAGTCAAATATTAGTCTTTTCTAGTATGAATAAAAGCTCAAACAACAACCTGAACGGGAAATGCTCCAACGCGGTATTGTTGAAGTTCATTTTAGTAGAAAATATTGGAGTCAATACGTGGACTGTTTGTGCGGGGAATGGAAAGGATGGGGAAGAGAAATGGAATGGGATGGGCTTTTTGCGAAAAGCGAAAAGCGAGAAATGGTTTTTTTTTTGTTGGAAAATGGAAGAGATACAGAGAAGTTCGAACCGAAAACTTTATCTCAAAAGCTTTGAATGAAGGTTTTCCTTTGTTCTGAATTCAGTTTTACTATTTGCAGATATGGAGAGGTGGATTCTGAGTCAAAGCTATGAATTGATTGATTTTAAGAAGCTATTGCTTTGTTAAAGCTTGCTGCTAAAGCTTGCTATTGTTCTTGGCGTATTCTAAGAGCTTAAGCTTTTATCTTAAGAGTTACAGTACACTAGATTCAAGCTAGCAAAAGAAGAACGCTAGATTCATGCTAGCAAAAGAAGAATGCTAGTTTCAAGCTAGTAAAAGAAGAATGCTAGTTTCAAGCTAGCAAAAGAAGAATACTAGATTCAAACTAGCAAAAGAAGAACACTAGTTTCAAGTTAGCAAAACTGATTACTTTAGCTTCTATCAGTACTTATTGTTAACTTATGACTTAATAGCCTTAGTTTATATTACAATTATCAAACCAATTACAGTATTAAACCTATTATTTCAATCAAAACTATAGTAATTCAAGAACTGAGAAAAACTAGCACAACAACATTTCCCTTTTAACCCCAAGAATTTGAACCCTTTCTACTTTCTGTTCATTTTGTCTCTATCCTGTTCTGTATCCGCCAAATTTTCCCTTTCCACAATCAGCCTGTTGTAAAAATTTTTGGGGTATAAATTGAGCCATTTCTTCAAAACATGTCCTAGAAAAAAAAAGATGATGATAAGAGATCATTGTGATGTAAACCCTTTCTTTGCAAGGGTCAGATTTCTTTTTCTTGAAATTTTTAACGATTGCAAAGAAGATAAAATGAAAACATATCCACTTTACACTAAATCATTCGTTTTTCTAATAGGGATTCCTCACTTTACAATGGAGTTTCTCTTTCACTGAAAAGAGCTGCTCTGTCATTGCCACGTGGGATTTCCGATTCAAATTCCAGCTTTAATCAGTCATTAATCAAAAAAAACTACAGAAATTTATGATCTCAATGCTTTAATAGGCCTGGGGTTCTTTTCTAAGTTCCCTAGGCTAAGTTAACTTTGTCTTGAATAAGCCAGTCTTTAATAAGTTAACTTTGTCTTTAATAAGCCAAAGTTAACTTAGTAAAGTGTTTGAGAGTTCTGGCCTATTTGTAAAGAGTAAAGCCTTGATTAGTACAAAAATTTACACCAGTTCTGTTATTTGTAAACCTTTAAGTACTAAAGTTAACTTAATTGCCTAACTATTGTTTAAGCCTTTTTTGTACTGTTTTAAATCTCAATTTTGTTTTGATCAAAAGTCATTTTTGTTTACAAGTAAACCGTTTACTTTCTCTGATTTGTTTGATCAACTTTTTCATGACGAAAAAACCGGTTACTGTAACCCGTTAATACTTTAAGATTTGAGTTATTTGGTCAGAAAACTTTTTTGTTTGGGTACTTGATTTCTTGACCTCAGTTTTCGGCGAAACGTGAAAAGGGGAAAACTTTTGAAGAGAAAAGACTGATGAGCGTCAATTAATGGAAAAGATTATGGAGAATTGGAGAAAATGAAAGAAAAGTGAAAAGATAAAAAAGAATAGAGGAGAAAAGAAAAAAGAAAAAGAACGGAGTCAGAAAAAAAGTAATGAGCGGTGTTGAAAGAGAAAAGAGGATGGGGAGAGCCCCGATCACCCCACGTGGGGAGTGGAGAAGGGGAAGGGAGGACAGGGGAACCGGCAGAGGTTGTGTGCACCACTCAGAGATACAGAGTGATTGGATTGTCACGCCGGGAAATCGTTCCCCCTATTTTGTTCTGGGGAC